TGTGATAGTTGGCCGATAAAGGAGGCTGAGCGCCGAAGAATTGAGAGCTCGATTAGTGGTGAAGGAGAAGGCTTTTTTCCTTTTCTTTTTTGAGAAGGCTCTTAAGAGTCCTTTGGACTCAAGAAGCTGAAATAAGTCAACCATAAGGAAATCAATCCTGAATATTCATAGGAAGGACTGATGCTGATGCTGAGGCTGAAGCCGTAATACTTTGGTTTCTTTGTCTGCTGAACCAACTCATTGGCAAGATCCTGATGCTGAGAAAGATCGAAAGCAAAAGGAGAAGGCAGTGACAGAGGGTGAGGTGGTTGAATATCTTTGCTGACTCAGTGGAGATGAATTTGAGCAAATTCCAGGCACTGACGAAGGATAAGGAAACCTGGCTTGCTGCATTCCATGGGATCCAAGAGTTCCATACAACTTAGCCACTGAATAGCAATCAACAAGAATGAAGGCAAAAGAAGTAGTGGTACATATACACAATGGAATATTACTCGGCCATAAAGAGGACCATATTTGAGTCAGTTCTAACGAGATGGATGAACCTAGACCCTGCTATACAGAGTGAAGTAAGTCAGAAAGAGAAATAGAAATATCATATACTAATGCATATATATGGAATTCAGAAAAATGGTACTGAAGAATGTACTTGCAGAACAGCACTGGAGAAACATAGATAATCGACTGATGGAAATGGGGAGAGGGCAGGAGAGGGTGAGCAGTATGGAAAGAGTAACATGAAAACTTACATTACCATATGTAAAAATAGAAATCCAAAGGGAAATTGCTGGGCATGTCAGGAAACTCAAACAGCACAAGGAGTGAGGTGGGGAGGGAGAAGGGAGGGAGATTCAAAAGGGAGGGGATATATGTATACCTATGGCTGTTTCACGTTAAGGTTTGACAGAAAACAACAAAATTCTGTAAAGAAATTATCCTTCAGTTAAAAAGTAAACAAACAAAGAAGAATGAAGGCAACAGATTACATCAAGGAAGAAGTAGTTTAGAATCATAATGACTCATGAAAACTGTCTTTCAAATATCACAAATACCCATTTTCCCCTAGAAAGCAAGGACCTGAAATTATTGGAAGAAGAAAAAGTCCAGGCATTCCCATTCCTCTCGAGGAAAATCTATGGCCACATTCCAATATATCAGCTGTCCCTGAAATACAAAGGACAAATGCCATGGGGCCGTGGGAAGACTTCCACATGTGACCCAAGATGAAAACAGCAAGTTCAGAGACCTGGTTGTGATTACTGGTGTGGCTGATATTACAGAATGATAACATTTTTACACAGTAATATTTTCCACCACATTTATACCCGAAGAAAAGAGGATGAGATATGATCCACAAAGTATTACACAAACTATTGTGATCTGGAAGAGAAATTATAAAATGATTGGATCAACACTGGCATATTAAGTTTTGAGTGTCGTAAGCCTGTGATACAGGATAAATTGTCTATCAAGAACACAGGAGACATTTTTAAAAAGCATACTTTGATTCAAGAGTTTTGGAGTGGTACCAGTGCTCCACATTTTAAACAAGCTTATTTTAAGTAGTAATGTGAAGAAATCTGCTCCATAAATAGCCAGTTTGAGCTACATGAGCTGCAAAGAAATAGAATAGTAAAGATTAACACTTAAACAATGAACTTTCAGTATTCTTCAAATTTGAGAGGTCTGATAGAATAGTACCCAGGGCAGCTACAGTCCTTTGAATTATTTAGTATATATTATGTCTTTCTAACAGCTTTTACTGTTGAATGCACCACATAAATAATATAAAATCAACACCATTGCAGTTCCACCTTTTTGCAAATATTTTATTAAATATTCATTGAATGGAAGAGTTGAATTTTGCTTCATTTTGCGTGACCTAGAATTGAATTAATAAAACACAAATACACACAGACAACACTAATGAAAGTTAACAGAAGTTTTAGAGGAACTTTTGTGGTGGTCCTTTGTTGGGGATCTTTAATGGACCGGAACCTGCTGGTCAAGAGTCGACAATAAGAAAGTGAAAGAAGGAAAGAGGCTAAAATTCCTCGGTTATGCATCACACCTCCGTGCTCCAGAGAATCAGCCAGAAAGAGAGAGAGAGAGAGAAGGATACGGGGACCCACGTCTCTGGTGGAACAAGGGTACTTTGTTGAATTCTGTGTGAGCATATATACCATATCACAAGGTAGCTTCTTCAGATAAAGATCAAAAGACCAGACTTTACAAGTTACCAAGGAATCAAGAAGCAATAGAGGCCACAGGGCCAAAAGGCAGTCCATATCAAAAGAGGGTGGAAAAAAACCCTTTCACTAACTGGAAAAGCTAATGAAGGAAATCCTATGCAAGCATCCCATCTCTAAGATTTCAGTCCTGGGAGTGGCTTGGAACTGACAGTCCTGATAGGACTGATAAGAAATGGAGGGCTCAAGAGAGATAGGAAACAGCACACAGGAATCCTACTGTGAAACATTCCCTGACAGTCCATGACTAAGACTCTCTGCTCTGAAGGCAGGGGGATGGGTTCAATTCCTGCTTAGAGAAATAGATCCCACACCCCACAGCTAAAGTTTTCCAGTGTCAACAAAATCTCCCACATGGCTCTAAGATTCTGCCTGCTACAACTAAGACACAACTGAGCCAAACAAATAAATTCATGTATTTTTCAAAAGAACTTTATATAACTTGGGAGAATATAAAAAAAAAAAATCAATCAAATAATTAACATTTTTCTGCACATAGGGATACATTAAAATGAGATTATACTTACTAAGAATATTAAAGCTATTCATGTCAATAAAATCAAGATTATTTTTAAAGGGTTAATATATATACATCTACTTGTGGATGATATTCTTTATACATTTTAGGTACATTTAGGGTGGAAACATACACAGCAGTATAAGATAAATTAAGACTCCTGGTTCTGAAGCTTTTCTTTGTTGAAAAACTGTATCATTTGTGTGGAGCTTTATCTTTCAACACAGTGGAAAACAGATTAGCACCATTATGATTGTTGCAAACATTTTGAAAAAAATATAAAAATGTGGTGAAAAGACGGTGTCTGTGATTTGAGCATGGAGTGTTCTGGAAACATCACACCTGAGCTTGGATGATCAATACGCCTACCCCGAACACCCAGTATCTATAATCCACACAATGAGTGTTCATTCTCAGAAGCAAAGAGAAACCAAGATGGGGGAGTTTCTCCATTAACTATGAGCATTTCCACACATTCCTTATTCCTTTCTTCTACAATCTTCTTTAAAGAGAGAGGAAAGAAGTATGAATTTCATAGCCTCATGATGACAGAGAGACTTCTCCAGAACCAGTGGGCATCATTACATCATTCCACCAGATGTCATGGTGTAAATGAATCACATGAAAGATGCACTATCACTGCCTGGGCATTCTGGAATTAACAAGGAAATTATAACTTGAATCTAACATTTTAAAATGTTCATTTTACTCAAATTTCATTTCACCTATACTTCCCCTGTTTAGTATCCTAATAATGCACTTAACTAGTAAGTCTTAGCAATGCAAAGGACAGTATCTCCCAGTTTCCTTTTTATTTCTGAACATTTTCTGAAAAACTCTGGACCAGAGTTGAGTCACTGGGCTTCCCAGCTGGCTCAGTGGTAAAGAATCTGCCTGCCAATGCAGGAGACGTGGTTTCAGTCTCACGGTGGAGAGAATTCCCGGGACTAGAAAATGGCAACCCACTGCAGAATTCTTGCCTGGAAAATCCCATGGACAGAAGAGAATTGTTTCTATGTATAATGGCATTTTCAAACTCGGTTTTAAATATCTAAATTGCATCCAGGTGCTGTCATTACTGCATTTCCCAATGTCCCTAAAATCCCAACACCAAACCACATCCGAGTGGGAGTGAGGATAGGAGTTACTCCCCATGCTGATCTCTCACAAAAATAATATTTTGATTAAAAAAAAAAAAGAATATTTTGAACAGTTCAAAGTCGCTGATTCATGTTGAGAATTCATCATGCTCCAAAGAAAGTGAGGATGCAGACAACGGAGAAAAGGCTCTGGGACACAAGGAAGTAGTCTAAAGGGCAGCTCTTCGCTATTAGAAGAGGAAATGGGGAAAAATAAGATGGTAACAAATGACTGGGAAGAAAAATTAGGAGCAGAGAACTAAAGACTTGCATATTCTCATTTGGGCATTTCAGGAGGAAAAGCAGACACAGCCGGAGACCCAGGATAGGACATTTACCTGAGAAGCTGCCAATTCCTCCTCTTGCTCCTCCTGTTCTGTCTTCTCTGGGGATGTTACGCTGCAAACGCACTTCTTGAGTTTTGAGAAAATACTACGGAGGGCATCAACACAGGTCTTTAACGTGCAACCACCACTCCCACTGAAAGGTTGTTGCTGAATCACGCAAAGATGCTGGGGTTCTTGGACTCCGAGAAGAATTCAACCAAGGGCCAGAGACGAGGCTTGATCGCTCAGAGCTTTTGTATAATAAAGTTTTATTAAAGTATAAAGGAGACAGAGAAAGCTTCTGACATAGACATCAGAAGGGGGCAGAAAGAGTACCTGCTTGCGAGTGTTAGCAATGGAGTTATATACTCTCCAATGAATCCAAAGAACTCTGAGACCTCACCAGATCTACTCCCATAATTTACATTTTAAGATAACAGGATTAGCCAGAAGGTTTAATCCAGAGACTGTCCTCAGGCAGGATTCATTATTACTATATAATGCTAAGGAATGTAGAGGGAAAAAAGTAAAAAGTTTGTCCTTTCTTCCTCCTTGAGTATTCCAGACCTCTCTCTCCTTGGGGACCCCTAGACTTCTTATCAACCTACCTAGGAATTGACTCTCTCATTCTCCCCTTTTCTTTTAGAATTGTGTTGCCAAGGGAAAGGGGTGTCATTTTCGTTCCATAACTACTTTTGCTGTTAAGGGGCATGGTCCCTTATGTTGTTGAGGCAACCTATTCTCCTAACCCTCATATTGAGGGTCTCTGATTCAGGAGCCCCAAGTAGTAGTTGGAGGAGGCTATTGACTCATAGGAGCTTAGAGAACCATTTGTAAACTAAAAGCTTTTAGACGGTTAGAAAATCCCATTATACAGATACAGGCAAAACAGTCATTAAACCAAGTTAAAATAAAAATGAAAAGTCACTTTATGTCTATAGTCACATCAGTCCATCTTAAGGTTGTTAGATGTCATCAGTTTAAGATGAGGCATCACATGTGATTGTTGTTGACAGAACTTGCAGACTTGGAGAGTCTCTTCCTTGAAGTGGAGATGTCCACCACGGGAGGCCTTCCACTGATTAAGAGGGAAGCACTCCACAGACCCAGCAGTTAGACTGACTGTGGAATCCAGCGTAGGAATGAGCCCAGGATAGGAAGGCATTATCTTGAGGATCAAACGGCAGACTCAGGATTTTTAGAGTCAGCAGAAGTAGGTTCACATAGATTATCTGGTCCATCTTTTGTCTTGTCCAGACAGTCCCATTACAGAAGCGGATTGGGAAGATAGTGGGCCAGGGGCTTCAGAAAGCACAGAGTAAGTTGCCCCAGTATCTAAAAGGAAATCGACGGATTGGCCTCCCACAGTTTAATACCTGGGGTTCCTCAGGTGTAATTAGGAGGTGAGCTTGTGTGCGGACCCCTGGGCACCTTCAGTCCTGATTGTCTTGAGAGTCCGACCCCTGAGACCTACGCCTCTGGGGGCAGTCTCTCTTCCAGTGTGGTCCTTTGCAGACCGGACATGCAGCGGGAGCAGCGTAGATGCCTGAGGGCAATCCTGCTTGAGGTGCCCCTCCTTTCCACAGTAATAGCAAGTCCATCCCTTTTCACCTGGGTCCCTCTGGGCATTTTTCTCAGGCTGTTTAAGAACAGTTTTCATAGCCATTTTGAAGGCTTCCACCTGTTCCTTTGTCTTTTTCTGTCTTTCTTTCTTTTCCTCATAATCCCTACCATAATAGACTGTCTGAGCCAGTTGGAACAGATTATCTAAAGACTGATTTGGTCCATATGACCGTCTTGATAGCTTATGGCTGGTATCTAGACTGACTGAGAAATCTATCCTTTAAGATCACTTTTCCCTCTTCACTTTTGGAATCAATCTCAGTGAATCTGCTTCTCTCAGTCTATCTAGGAATTTACCAGGAGCTTCCTTCTCCTCCTGTTCTATGTCTGCCAATTTGCCATAGTTTAAAGCCTTAGTTTAAAAATCCCATGGACAGAGGAGCCTGATAGGCTACATTCCATGGGATCGCAAAGAGTCAGACACGACTAACTGACTTCACCTTAAAGGTTTAGCACACCCCTGCCTGAGTCCTTCAAGAATATATCTGACAAAATGACTCTGATCCCATCTTCCCTTAGCTGTGTTGTAGTTTCAGTCTGGTTCTGTAATTGGGACCACCTCATTCCCAGTGGGGAGGGCAGTTATCTCCCTCTTCCCTACTGATTCATTACCAAGCCATTCATGTCCATAAGCAACCGCTTTTCCCAAAACTTTTTTGAGTCGGGAGTCAGCGTTTGTCCCAAGATATATATTATATCCTTCCAAGTAAGGTCATAAAGCAGAGTAACACCTTTCAAAGATCTCATGTATTTTTCTGAGTCCTCTAAATAGTCTCCCAGATCCTCCTTGATTTCTTGTATTTCTTGATAAGAAAAAGGCTTATGAATTCTCATAGACTGATTATTTCTCCCAGTAGGTGCTTCATGAAGGCTGTTCCTCGGTGTCTCTGGCTGCTCTGAGTATAAGATCCCAGGAATAGATTGGAGAAACCTGCTTTTCTTTACCTCTTTGTCTCCTGTCCTCCATCTCATCTAGGAAAGTAGGAGGACAGGAGGGAGCTGAAGGTTTCACACCCAAATCTCTACCCTTAGAACATAAGTCTGGCAACACATATGCTACTTCTACCCACTTCCCTTGTTTTCTACAGAACCAATCTAATTGTAAAACAGTTATTATACTTAAGAGACCCTCCAACCGGCCACCGTTCGCCACCCTCCAGTGGGTACCTCGGTCATGCAATATCACATAGGAAGACCAGGTGTGTCTTCTTTAAGCTCTGGGGATCGAATATATGCCAGTTTTTCAGGATACAGTTCAAAGGAGTGAGGCTACAATTGTTAGCTCCCATCTGTAAGAGAGAAAAAAAGCGAACAGCGCCATCTTTCTACCGGAGGGGTCCCTCCCTGTTCTAGATGGGGGTGTAGACAGACTTTACACCAAAGCTTCCCTTCCCTGGTCGGACTTAGTCTGTCCCTTACCGACCCAGGGACCATACTTATCCCTCCCGGTTCTACCACCAAGACTCGGTGGAGATGCACCACGGGTAGACCTGATGGCTTCCCTGACTGACGTCCAGCTCGTCACCATTAAAACCTTGCTTGCCTCTGATGCCACCCAGGGTGCAATTGGAGTAAGTTTCCAGAACACCTCCCAGGCTAAACCGCGGGGGAAACAGTGGTCACGTGAGTGCCTGTGCTCGACCCTGACTATAACAACAAAACTGATATGAACAGAGAACTGAGATGTTACTTCCAAGCGTCACCACACCAGTATAGAGCCTCCTCTGGTCCACTAAGAGCCAGTGTTACCAAAGGGAAAGAAAAACAATTGCAGTTCCAACCTGAGTAACCTTTAACCTCAGATCTAACTTCCAATCTTTTGATTCCTATCACAGCTAGGTGCTTCCTGACTACCAATCCAAGTGTGAGATCTAAGTCACAGTAACAGCACAGATCACAAGGCCCTTGAAAACCTATGATGCGACGGATTAGGTTAGTACTTCTGATTTCCAAGGAGTTATGAAATGGCCAAAGAGACCAAAAGTTTGACCGAGAAAGGAGTTCAGTCCACATGCTTTGCCCATCTCTGATCAGTCCCTGAAGGAGACACTGGGTGCCTCTTGGCATTGGCAGGTTGGTATAAATCCCTGACAGGTTTCTGCCATCAGCCCTATGAGGTCACCACAGAACCGCAGAGCAGTTCACTTGCTTCATGCAGGGCATTTCATTCATTCACGCAAGCACACCAAAGGGTTAGTCAAGTACAGCAGAAAACATGTTCGCTAGGAGAACTACAGCTCCAAGCACCCTTACCTTGTCCTGAAGAATCCCGGATGAGCCCCCAAGATGAAAGGTTGTTGCTGAATCACGCAAAGACACTGGGGTTCTTGGACTCCAGGGAATTCAATCTGGGGCCAGAGACAAGGCTTGATTGCTCAGAGCTTTTGTGTAGTAGTTTTATTAAAGTATAAAGGAGATAGAGAAAGCTTCTGACATAGACATCAGAAGGGGGCAGAAAGAGTACCCACTTGCGAGTGTTAGCAATGGAGTTACATACTCTCCAATGAATCCAAAGAATGTCTGGAGGTTGTAAAGACCTCACCAGATCTACTCCTATAATTTACATTTTAAAATAACAGGATTAGCCAGAAGGTTTAATCCACAGATTGTCCTCAGGCAGGATACATTATTTTTTTTTAGGATACATTATTGTTATATAATCCTAAGGAATGTAGAGGAAAGAAAAAAAGTTTGTCCTATCTTCTTCCTTGAGAATTCGAGACCCCTCTTTCCTTGAGGACCCCCAAGCTCTTCTCAACCTGCCTAGGAAATGACTCTCTCACTACAGACAGAAGGACCTTGAAAAGCGAGAACGACCTCTCCTGTCTGTCTCAGGAGAGATTCAGGAACAATCAGTTCCTACCTGGCGACCAGCCTGTGAGCTAATTTCTTAATTGTTTTCTCCCCATAGATAGCTGCTAACACTCTGCTCACACAGACGATGTGAGCTGACTGACTTCCCTGGTCCAAATCCAGCTAGACCAACCCTGCGGCCTCTCCTTGGACTGAAGCTGGGCCTCAGCTCTCACAAATGGACCAGGAGCCAAGTCCTCATCACGGGCCTCCCCTTAGAATCCCCTGGAGCACATCCTACACACCACACTGATGCTCCCACAGGACCAAAATAGAACTCTGTTGGGAGCGCATCAGTGAGGTCATTTCCTGACACTGGTCAAGTGATCCTGATGGGAAACCAGATGGAAACCACTTGGTTAAAGATTCTTTCTGAACCATTTCAATGAATACAAATCCCTGGTGACCAGGTCCCCACTCCAAGAAGTTATGACTCTGCAGGTCTACAGTGGGGCCATGAAAGGAGTCGTCAGCAAATCCCATTTTTTTTCTGATGTTTCTTCCCCAAAACCAACGTTCAGGAGTCCTGAGCTCAAAGCCTCACACTCACCACACCTAAGACCTCTCTGTAGGGGAGGATTTAGGGCAGAAATTTCTGAGAGCGGTCAAAGCTGGAATCAGCCAGACCAAACAGGAGTACTTGCAGCTCAGGTTTTATAAGTTACCCTGAGTAAAGTGCCTCAGACTCCCTAGGCTGAGTGTTGGTTAATCCATTCAAACCAAGACAAGGAGGATTCTGGTGAGCACTGTATGGATTATTTGAATGCTGAATTACATTCACCTGAAATAATCTCAGATCATGTCATTATTAACAAGCATACATACATTGCTAAGAATTGTAACTTTCTAACCATCAACCTTCATCTCATGATTCATGCTAATATATCCACTTTCTATCTGTTTTAACTATGGAGGACTCCCTACAGTCATTCTCCTTCAGAGAAACTTCTGAAAACAAAACTGATGAAATGCCTTCTAGTATGCAATCTGATATTTACTTTAACTTTTGATTAACAACCTTTCTACATATTTGTTACATCACTTCCATCGGTTTCTTATATAAACTCTTGTGTTTTCTGATGCATGTTTAGGGCAAACCTCTTCCATCACTTGTTCCATTACTAGGGTTTCTTTCCAGTGTGTGTTCTCAGATGTTTAGTGAGATTACTACTATGACTAAAGGCTTTGCCACATTCTGTACATTTGTAAGGTTTCTCTCCAGTATGAACTCGCAAATGTGTAGTAAGAATTGAGCTCCGATTAAAGGTTTTGCCACATTCTGTACATTTATATGGTCTCTCCCCAGTATGGATTCGCTGATGTTTAGTAAGATTAGAACCCTTAATGAAGGCCTTGCCACATTCTGTACATTTATAACATCTATCCCCGGTATGAATTCGGTGATGTTGAGTAAGGGACAAACTCGTAGTAAAGGCTTTGTCACATTCTTTACATTTATAAGGTCTCTCTCCAGTATGAATTTGCTGATGTTGGGTAAGATGTGAGCAACGGATAAAGGCTTTGTTACATTCTTTACACTTACAGGGTCTCTGCCCAGAACGAATACGCTGATGTCCAGTAAGAACTGAGGGAAGATGAAAGGCTTTGTTACATTCTTTACATTTATAAGGTCTCTCTCCAGTATAAATTCGCTGATGATAGGTTAGCTGTGAGCAACAGATAAAGGCTTTGCTACATTCTGTACATATATGTTTCTCTCCAGTATGAATTTGCAGATGTTGAATAAGATGTGAACTGTAAGTAAAGGCTTTGCCACATTCTGTACATTTATAAGGTTTCTCTCCAGTGTGAATTCTCTGATGTTTAGTAAGAAGTCAGCAATGGTTACACACTTTGCTACATTCTGTACATTGGAAAGGTTTCCTTACTGTATGAATTTTCTTGTCTCCTTAGATGGCATGAGTTACTAAACACTTTCCCACATATCTTACACTTGTTTTCTTTCTGTGGATTCTGAACAGTGTGCTGTTGAAAACGTTCTGAAGACTGACTAGAAACCTTACCACATTCAGGACAAGTCCTCTCTTCAGTAAAAGTACTCTTATCGAGAGAAAAACCTGACATTTGATCAAAGGCATTTCTACATTTATTATTTCTAGAATCCTTGTTTGAAGATTCGGGTCCCTGATGTTTCTTAAGGTTGGAGTCTCCTTCAGCCGTATACCCAGTTTCACTGCCTGAATACCTTCTCAGTCAACCATAAATACTCTTGTCATTATTGGAGCTGGAGCCCTTACTTAAGGTCTGACTCATTTCATTGCACATGGAAAGTTGTTGTGTATTGACCATATCACAATATGTTTTGAACAATGATGGTTGGATTGCATCTCTTTCATTATCATCAACATTATATATCTTGGAATAGAGAGAAAATATTTGTTGCGGGAAGAAAAATGACCCCGTGCTCACGGATCCCTCAAATTGATTAGATTGTGAGTTTTTCCACTCACAATTTTAAATTGTTAAATGTTAGGTGTTCAGATATGCCTGAATGTATGGTTAGTTGAAGCTTACATTCAGAATAAGTATTTGCATTAGAGACTAGATTACCTTCCAGATTTTCCACGTTTCCTTTTAGAGAATATGTATGTTTCAAAAAAGGATGGAAACCTTTTCTTAAACACTAACACTTCTCTGCAGATGTTGAAGACTGAAGTTGGTCTTTTCCCAATTTGACTCATGTTGATGATTTCTTTTTGCAGTAATGTTAGCATTCTGTGTAACTGTCTCCATTTCTTTATGTCCATATAAACATCCTCTCTGTCTTCACATCTCCTCATATATTCCCAGCTTTTCATTAAATTTAAATTTCTGAGGTGAAATATTTGATATATTCCTAGGTTTGCTTTTGGGAATACATCTTCTAATGCTGGATTCTTCGGCATCAAATCCCGGGTGTCTTTTGGAGACAAGGCTGAAAGATATCAAATAACAAATAATTTCCCCTGCTATTCTCAGTGAAAATCTTTAAACATTTAGAGAAAATTGATGATCACAGCTAATTTAAAACTAAAATAGAGATTAAAAAATAAAATAAAATAGAGATGGAAGCATCAAGATGTCAGAGGATTAGGCAGATGTGGAGACCATCTCTCTGTCCACAAATGAATGAGAAATGGAACAATTTTCACAGAGCCCAGCTGAACACTAGCAGAGACCCCTCGAAATCTAAAGAAACAAGAAAGATTCCTGCTGAGTCAGGTAGGACAAGAGAAAGAAGAAGGAAAAGGAAGAGGAGAGGAAGTGGGATGGGGCCTGCAACGCTGCGGGGAGATGAAAGTGAGAAGAGGTCTCCACATCCAGGGAAGCCTCTAGTCAGGAAGCTCAGTTTGGACAGAAGGAGAGCCTCATTCTCTGTAGGAGAGAACATGGCAACCCGCGTGTGGCAGCAGGACAGGCTGAGACCTGCATACGGTGTCCTGACCCCTGCCCTGCCCACCCAGCCTGAGAGGCATGGCCACCGCTGCAGACAAGGGCTGGGTGCTGGAATGTGGGGCTCAGAGAGCAGACCAAGGCAAAGGATTGAGGCTGGCTGTGAGAAAATATCCGGAAGGGATGGGACTGTGGGAGGAGCTCTGCAAATGGGATGCTTGTGGTGGAAGCCTTAACCAGCAGAGAGCAGAGTGCCTTTGGTGAGTGATGCCCAAAGAAGCAGCCCATTGCATCCCTTGCCCCTTGTGATCGCCCTTCCTCACCAAGGACGACGAAGAACTCCACCCACATAGGTCTTTTGAGCCCCAGCCACGGCCTCCCCCATCGACCTCCTCCACTATCAGCAGACTCCTGTGCTCTGGGGCAGCTCAGGAGAAGACACCTGTGAGTTGCCCACACGCTCAGATGGAGCTGAAAGCACAGCTGAGCCCAGGGATGAAGAAGAAAAGCTGACACCTCTCCCTGCACCAACAGAAGCCATGGTCTCACACCCACAACCGGCTGTGTAACCTCAGCCCCTACAGAGCATCTGATTCACCTAGCAGCGCTCTCAGTCACGGCAGGGGTAGCTCTAGCGGCTGTAGACTCTGTGGGCTCCCACACAAGGGGGCTGGGCCAGGACAGAGCCTGAGCTGCCCCAGAGCACCACAGAGGGTCCAGCTCCACGTTGAATGCAATCCCAGGACCTGACTTCACTGAATCTATGCCAATGACCTTGTGAAAACAACATCTGTGAGACATCATGCCCATGGTTAAGGTGGCGCCAAGAGCAGTGCCTACACTACATTACATGAGAACCTGCAGAACGCATGAGAGGGGGAACCAGAGCACAGCTGGAGTGAACATCCCCAGAGGAGTAATACTCAGAGACTTTTCTCCGTGTGTGGGTGCTCCAATCCCACCTTCCTCGCACCACAGATCAGAATCACATCCAAGATTCAGGTCTGCGGGCTCTATTCCACCACACAGGGAGGAGGCACCACCAGAGAGAGGGCAGTAACCACCACAGAACAATAGGGAAACAGCCCTGAATATCCACAGCAGGCTCTGGTCACAGTTAACAGCAATCAAAGCCCAGATCAAGAGGATGAGGGCACAAACCTCGGGACCAACCTCACCCACCAAGGTGCAGACACCAGAAGGAAGACTAACGAGGTTCCTGTAGTCTTCAAAACAGAGACCACAGACAGAACGCTGGACAAAATGAGATGGCAGAGAAATAGGTTACAGGGCAAGAAACAAGATAAAAACCTCAAAGCACCACTGAATTAAGTGGAGTTAGGCAATCTAATGATTACTTCCTGCTTTAATCCTCTTAAGTGGAGACACCAAACATTTTCACAAATCCTAGGTGCCTAGTTATTCTTAAATCCACTTCTTGCCACAAATGTTTCTGATAATGTTCTATTAGATGTTTCAATCCAAAAATCATAAGAATCATAAGTGATAGTGACAGAGAACTAATCAGAAACTGAGGACACATAAGAGAGTGTCCAATGAAGCTGAAACAAAAAAGATAAACTTAATGAAGTACTAGTTTTAAGAAATTAAATAAGAAGAGAGACTTTAAAACTATGACTAGAGAAAGGGGGAACTCTACTCATTGCTCTGTGGAGACCTAAATGGGAAGAAATCAATAGAATGGTAAACACTAGAGATCTCTTTAAGAAAATTAGAGGTACCAGGAATATTTCAAGCAAAGATGGGAATAGTAAAGGACAGAAACGGGATGGACCTAAAAGCATGAGAAGATATTAAGACAACTTGGTGAGAATACATGGAAGAACTATACAAAAAAGATCTTAATGACTGAGATAACCACGATGGTGTGATCACTCACCTTGTAACAGACATCCTGGCATCCAAAGTCAAGTCGGGCTTAGAAGGCATGACTACCAACAAAGCCAGTGCAGGTGATGGAACTCCAGGTGAGCTATTTCAAGTCCTAAAAGAGGATCATGCTACAGTTCTGCACTAGATAAGCCAGCAAATGTTGAAAACTCAGCAGTGGCCACAGGATGGAAAAAGGTCAGTTTTCATTGTAATCACAAAGAAAGGCAATGCCAAAGAACGCTCAAACTACTACACAATTTCTCTCATTTTAAACAATAGCAAAGGCTCAAAATTCTCCAAGCAAGGCTTTAACAGTAGGTGAACTGAGAGCTTCCAGATGTTCAAGCTGGATTTAGAAATGGCAGAGGAACCAGAGATCAAATTGCCAACATCCCTTGGATCATATAAAAAGCAAGAGAATTCTGGAAAAACAACCACATCTGCTTTATTGACTACACCACAGGTTTTGATTATGTGGCTCACAAGAAACTGTGGAAAATTCTTAAAGAGATGAGAACACCAGACTACCTTGCCTGCCTCCTGAGAAATCTGTATGCATGTCAAGAAGTGACAGTGAGAACTGGACATGTGACAATGTACGGATTCCAAATTGGGAAAGGAGTACATCTAGGCTGTATATTGTCACCCTGCTTATTTAACTTATATGTACAGCACATCATGCGACATACCACGTTGGATGAACCACAAATTAGAATCAAGATTTCAGGGAGAAATATCCATAATCTCAGATATACAGATGACACCACCCTTACAGCAGAAAGCGAAGAGGAACTGAGGAGTCTCTTGATGAAAGTGAAAGAACAGGGTACAAAAGCTGGCTTCAAACACAACCTTCAAAAATCTAAGATCATGGCAGCAGTCACATCCTTTCATGCAAACAGTGGGAGAAACAATGGAAACAGCGACAGACTTTTTTTGGGGGGGGTTCCAATATCACAGCCATGAAAGTAAAAGACACTTGCTCCTTGGAAGAAAAGCTATGACCAACCTAGAGAGCATATTAAAAAGCAGAAACATTACTTTGCTGAAAAAGGTTCATGTTGTCAAAGCTATGGTTTTTCTAGTAGTCATGTATGGATGTGAGAGTTGGACCATGAAGAAAGCTGAGTGCAGAAGAATTGATGCTTTTGAACTGTGTTGTTGGAGAAGACTCGTGAGAGTCCCTTGGACTGCAAGAAGATCACACCACTCCATCCTAAAGGAAATCAGTCCTGGATATTCATTGGAACGACATGGTGAAGCTGAAGCTCTGATACTTTGGCCACCTGATGCGAAGAACTGACTCACTGAGAAAGACCCTAATGCTGGGAAAGATTGAAGATGAGAGGAGAAGGGGACAATACAGGATGATATAGTTGGATGGCATCACTGACTCGATGGCCTAGATTTTGAGCAGGCTCTGGGACTTGGTGATGGGACAGGGAAGCCTGGTTGCTGCAGACCATGGATAGCAGACTCAGCCTCGACTGAGTGATGGAACTGAACTGACTGATATGTATAATTGGTTCTCTTTGCTGTATAGGAGCACACAATTGGAAAACACCTATATTCCATTTAGAACTTTTAATAAAGATTTCTTTATAAAACTTAAAAATTGTCATAGTTTGAATCAACCATTAATAGTATAGTGGAAAATGTGCTAAGAGGTTATGTTAATTCATTTTAAAATTCAATGAGGTAAAAGAATATAATAAAGTATTTTAGCAAGTTATAATTGGATCAAATACACTAAAGATATTTACTATGAGATCATAAAAGTAAAAGAGAAACTGAAGTCAACCTGAGATGTGCATTCTTTCATTTTCACGAGGTTCTGTTTTCTGCAGTGAAAAATTACTTGAATTTGAAATTTATATAGAAGGTCCTATGTGTCACTCCCAGTGGATAGGAAATTATAAACCAGAGAACAAAAACCTGTTCCCAGTATTTCTAGAAGTTTGGCAGTTTGTCTACCACTCCATTCACACATTTCTGTCTAGAGGTAGAGGGAAACTTGAAAAGGACTGTCATATAGTTACTCAGAAATGGGCAGAGTTTTCCTAGGGCCCCCAAGAAATGGCAGAGAAACTAATGAATGCAGTTTGTCACAAGCCAACAGGAGACTTTTAGTTCACACTGTGATGGAGAAAAGTAATCACTGGAGATGAATTCATGAATGATTTAAGAGACAGAATGGGGCAGGTGATACATGTCTACAACAGTAGGAAACACAAACCCAGGTTTTCAAAAACCATTTCCATTGAAGCAAATCTCCCAAAGCCATGTGATGAAGGATGAGTTCCTCGTTGCTCCTTGGACCACCCATCTGAGTCTTCATCTCCATCCATTCATACCTACCTGGGTAACTGGTTGTTGTCTCCATTCTCCTTATATTCCTGGGAGCCTTCAATTGCTCCAGAAAGGTGACCAGGTCCAGCTTAGAGACAAGCCCTAGGGTTATCGTTACCATATTTCTAAAGTCCATATATATGTGTTAGTATACTGTAATGGTCTTTATCTTTCTGGCTTACTTCGCTCTGTATAATGGTCTGCCCAATTTCTAATGCGAAGAAAAGAGGATGAGTTATGATCCACAAGCCAATAAGAGAAACTATTCTCATCTGGAAGAGAAATTATAAAATCATATGGGCAACATTAGCATATTTATTTTTCAGTATTCTACTCGTGTGACATAGGATAAATTGTTTACCAAAGAAACAGGAATTTTTTTTTTTTTTAAGTGTATTCTGATCCAAGAGTTCTGAAGTGGAGCCAAAGTGCCACATTTTTAGCAAGGTTATTTGAGTTAGTAATATTGAAAATTTTACTCGATGGATGATGATTTTGAACCACAATGCAACAGAATAGTAAGGTAAAACTTCATACTTAAGCTGCAACTTTAATTGTTATACAGATTTTAGTAGGTCAAATAGGATCGTAAATTAAAAGACGCTTAGTCCTTGGAAGGAAAATCATGACCATCCTAGATAGCATATTAAAAAGCAGAGACATTACCTTGCCAACAAAGGTCCATCTAGTCAAGGCTATGATTTTTCCATTGGTCATGTATGGATGTGAGAGGTGGACTGTGAAGAAAGCTGAGCACTGAAAAATTGATGCTTTTGAACTGTGGTGTTGGAGAAGACTCTTGAGAGTCCCTTGGACTGCAAGGAGATCCACCAGTCCATCCTAAAGGAGATCAGTCCTGGGTGTTCACTGGAAGGACTGATGCTGAAGCTGAAACCCCAATACTTTGGCCACTTCATGCTAAGAGCTGACTAATTGGAAAAGACCCTGATGCTGGGAGGGATTGGGGGCAGGAGGAGAAGGGGACAACAGAGGATGAGATGGCTGGATGGCATCACCGACTCAATGGACATGAGTCTGAGTAAAATCTGGGAGTTGGTCATGGACAGGGAGGCCTGGGTGCTGCGATCATGGGGTCACAGAGAGTCGGA